ATCTTTGTCTGTGTGTGTGTGGGGGTCTGGGACTCTGTGTGTGTGTGGGGGTCTGTGTGAGTGTGTGGTAGTGTCTGTGTGTGTGGGTCTCTGTGTGTGGGTCTCTGTGTGTGTGGGTCTCTGTGTGTGTGGGTCTGTGTGTGTGGGTCTCTGTGTGTGGGTCTCTGTGTGTGGGTCTGTGTGTGTGTGGTAGTCTCTCTGTGTGTGGGTCTGTGTGTGTGGGTCTGTGTGTGTGGGTCTCTGTGTGTGTGTAGGTCTCTGTGTATGTGTGTGAGTCTGTGTGTGTGTGGGTGTCTGTGTGTGTGCAGGTCTCTGTGTGTGTGGGTCTGTGTGTGTGGGTCTGTGTGTGGGTGTCTGTGTGTGTGGGTCTCTGTGTGTGTGTGGGTGTCTGTGGGTCTCTGTGTCTGTGTGGTCTGTGTGGGTATGTGTGTGTGTGGGTCTGTGTCTGTGTGGGTTTGTGTGTGTGTGTGGGTCTCTGTGTGTGTGTGTGGGGGCTCTGTGTGTGTGTGGGGGGGGGGGGCTCTGTGTGTGTGTGTGGGTTTCTGTGTATGTGTGTGGGTCTCTGTGTATGTGTGGGTCTCTCTGTGTGTGGGGGGGTCTGTGGGTGTGTGTGGGTCTCTGTGTGTGTGTGTGGGTGTCTGTGTGTGTGTGGGTCTCTGTGTGTGTGTGTCTGTGTGTGTGTGGGTGTCTGTGTGTGTGGGTCTCTGTGTATGTGTGTCTGTGCATCTGCCGGCCATCTCAGTCACGCAACCCACGGCACCTGCTGGGTCCGTCCCGTGACCTCCTGCCGGGGGGCGTGAGACACTTCACGTGGCCTCGAAGTGCACCTAGCCTGGCACAAGCGCCGTGGGGACATCACCGTCACTTAGTGTTGTGTGAGTGAGTCTGTTTGGGGCAGCGGTAGTGTTCGATTTCATGCAAACTCCCAATATCCAGCAGCAAGCGTCAGGGTCGGGATCGAACCCACGTGACTCCTTGCATGCGCCGTGCTGTCCAGGGTATGGTCCAGATGTCTTGTGACCCCCACACCCTCCCCAACATGTATTTTATTTTAGTTTTATTTGCGTATTCATCTCTGTTGTAAATAAATATTGCTGCAAAATAGAAAAAATATATCTATATACATGGAGATAAATTTACATTGTAGAGAATTAAATGCTCGGGTCGCAAGACGTCACGTGGTCCTGCGCCGTGCGTCACGTGGGCCTGCGCCGTGCGTCACGTGGTCCTGCGCCGTGCGTCACGTGGTCCTGCGCCGTGCGTCACGTGGTCCTGCGCCGTGCGTCACGTGGTCCTGCGCCGTGCGTCACGTGGTCCTGCGCCGTGCGTCACGTGGTCCTGCGCCGTGCGTCACGTGGGCCTGCGCCGTGCGTCACGTGGTCCTGCGCCGTGCGTCACGTGGTCCTGCGCCGTGCGTCACGTGGTCCTGCGCCGTGCGTCACGTGGGCCTGCGCCGTGCGTCACGTGGGCCTGCACCGTGCGTCACGTGGGCCTGCACGGTGCGTCACGTGGTCCTGCACCGTGCGTCACGTGGGCCTGCACCGTGCGTCACGTGGTCCTGCACTCGGGCACGAGGTCGATGAGCTCGGTGGGGTGCCAGAGTTGGCAACAAATAGTACCACTGTGTAATAGTACCACTGTTTATATAGTACTGTACCAGTGTCTAAATAGTACTACTGTGTAATAGTACCACTTTATATAGTACCAGTGTCTAAATAGTACTACTGTGTATATAGTACTAGTGTCTAAATAGTACTACTGTTTATATAGTACCAGTGTCTAAATAGTACTACGTACTGTATAATAGTACCACTGTTTATATAGTACTGTACCAGTGTCTAAATAGTACTACTGTGTAATAGTACCACTTTATATAATACCAGTGTCTAAATAGTACTACTGTGTATATAGTACTAGTGTCTAAATAGTACCGCTGTGTAATAGTACCACTTTATATAGTACCAGTGTCTAAATAGTACTACTGTGTATATAGTACTAGTGTCTAAATAGTACCGCTGTGTAATAGTACCACTTTATATAATACCAGTGTCTAAATAGTACTACTGTGTATATAGTACTAGTGTCTAAATAGTACCGCTGTGTAATAGTACCACTTTATATAATACCAGTGTCTAAATAGTACTACTGTGTATATAGTACTAGTGTCTAAATAGTACCGCTGTGTAATAGTACCACTTTATATAGTACCAGTGTCTAAATAGTACTACTGTGTATATAGTACTAGTGTCTAAATAGTACCGCTGTGTAATAGTACTACTGTTTATATAGTACCAGTGTCTAAATAGTACTATGTATATAGTACTAGTGTCTAAATAGTACCGCTGTGTAATAGTACCACTGTTTATATAGTACCAGTGTCTAAATAGTACTACTGTGTATATAGTACTAGTGTCTAAATAGTACTCCAGTGTAATAGTACCAGTGTCTAAATAGTACTACAGTGTTTATAGTACCGCTGTGTAAATAGTACTTCTGTGTATATAGTACTACAGTGTATATAGTACTGTGTAATAGTACTGTACAGTGTAATAGTACTGTACAGTGTAATAGTACTGTACAGTGTAATAGTACTGTACAGTGTAATATTGCGTCTGTACAGTGTAATAGTACTGTACAGTGTAATAGTACGCCTGTACAGTGTAATAGTACTGTACAGTGTAATAGTACTGTACTGTGTAATAGTACTGTACAGTGTAACAGTGCTGTACAGTGTAATAGCACTACAGTGTAATAGTACTACTGTACAGTGTAATAGTACTACAGTGTAATAGTACTACTGTACAGTGTAATAGTACTACTGTACAGTGTAATAGTACTAGAGTGTAATAGTACTACTGTACAGTGTAATAGTACTGTGGTGGAGTAGAGTCTCGAGGGGGGTGTGTGCGAGGATTCGGATTCATTGGAGAGGCAGGCGACTCGCCGCGTCAGACCAGGGCGCTCCGCTCTAAACAGCAGCAGCAGTAGCAGCTGTTGTTGTTGTTTACACGTTTGTAGTTGATTGTGTAACCAGGTAAGAACTCTAGAGACCAGGATAGGAACCTTATTTGCAAGGATGGGTGGGTGAGTGGGTTGGTGGGTGGGTGAGTGGGTGGGTGGATGAGTGGGTGAGTAGGTGGGTTGGTGAGTGGGTGGGTGGGTGAGTGGGTGGGTGGATGAGTGGGTGAGTAGGTGGGTGGGTGAGTGGGTTGGGGGGTGGGTGGGTGGGTGGGTGAGTGGGTTGGTGGGTGGGTGAGTGGGTTGGTGGGTGGGTGAGTGGGTTGGTGGGTGGGTGGGTGAGTGGGTGGGTGGGTGGGTGAGTGGGTGGGTGGGTGGGTGAGTGGGTGGGTGGGTGGGTGAGTGGGTGGGTGGGTGGATGGGTGAGTGGGTGGGTGGATGGGTGAGTAGGTGGGTGAGTAGGTGGGTGAGTGAGTGCGTGGGTGGCTGGGTGGGTGGCTGAGTGGGTGGGTGGGTGAGTGGGTTGGTGGGTGGGTGAGTGAGTGCATTCAGGATTTTATTTGATTCTTTCTTAACCAGGTAAGAACTCAAGAGACCAGGATAGGAGCCTAATTTTCAAGAGTCAGCGAATGGGTGGGTGGGTGAGTGAGTGAGTGGGTGAGTGAGTGGGTGGGTCAGTGGGTGGGTAGGTGAGTGGGTGGCTGGGTGGGTGGGTGAGTGGGTGGGTGGGTGGGTGAGTGAGTGAGTGAGTTGGTGGGTGGGTGGGTGGCTGGGTGGGTGGGTGAGTGGGTGGGTGGGTGGGTCAGTGGGTGGGTGGGTGGGTCAGTGGGTGGGTGGGTGGGTCAGTGGGTGGGTCAGTGGGTGGGTCAGTGGGTGGGTCAGTGGGTGGGTCAGTGGGTGGGTGAGTGGGTGGGTGAGTGGGTGGGTGAGTGAGTGGGTGGGTGGTTGAGTGAGTGAGTTGAGTGGGTTGGTGGGTGGGTGAGTGAGTGGGTGAGTTCGAAATTGTGCCAATAGCTGTAACTGACTGCATTTGGATATCTGTACTGCGGTGGCTGTACTCTGTCGTATAGGGCTTGCCGTGTCTTCTTAGCTGCATCTGCAAGCCGAGATAGCGCAACTGGGAAAATAATCATATATATCGTTGGGATAGCTGTATGCGGGGTAACTGTGTCGGCATAGCTGCAGTTGTGTATCTGGGATAACTGCAGCTAGAACAGCTGTTCCTGGTAAGCTGTACCAGCATGCATGTGCTCTGTATCGGCTGTAGCGGTCTCAACTCTATATTATTTTACTGTGGAACGTCCCCACTGAGCTATTCAGCTCGTTTGTCAGAAGCGACCTGGCTGTCGCAAATGTTAAGTCGACCAAGTGGCTTGTCATCATCACAATCATCATCACGTGGGGAGTGGCTTATCATCATCATCACGTGGGGAGTGGCTTGTCATCATCACAATCATCATCACGTGGGGAGTGACTTGTCATCATCATCATCATCACGTGGGGAGTGGCTTGTCACAATCATCATCATCACGTGGGAAGTGGCTTATCATCATCATCACGTGGGGAGTGGCTTGTCATCATCATCACAATCATCATCACGTGGGAAGTGGCTTGTCACAATCATCATCACGTGGGAAGTGGCTTGTCACAATCATCATCACGTGGGAAGTGGCTTATCATCATCATCATCATCACGTGGGGAGTGGCTTGTCACAATCATCATCACGTGGGCAGTGGCTTGTCATAATCATCATCATCATCACGTGGCACATTTATCGCAGCAGCAGCAGCCAAATCATCTTAAACGCCGTGACAGTGATGCTAAATTCGGAGGGGAACAAACGGAGGACCCGGAGGAAAACAAAATAAAATCCCCCCACGCCACCACGGATCGGGGGACACTCAAACTGCAAACACCCAGCAGGCGCCGGGGGTGAGCGGTGATATCTGGTGAGAGCGGCGCTCTCTGGGGATAGCTGTGTCCCCGCGTGGCTGTGTCTCACCGCCGCTGCTGCTGCTGTCTCCGTGCTGTCTGGCAACAGATGCGCTGAAGAAAGCCGGCGGAGGTGTGGAGATCCGACGCAGCCTCAGCTACATCCACGAGATCGGCCGCGGGTGGTTCGGCAAGGTGGGACGGACTGCAGCGCTCCGCAGCACTCAGCAGCACTCGGCAGTACACAGCAGCACTCAGCAGTACACAGCAGCACTCAGCAGTACACAGCAGCACTCAGCAGTACACAGCAGCACTCAGCAGTACACGGCAGCACTCAGCAGTACATGGCAGTACACAGCAGTACATGGCAGTACACAGCAGCACTCAGCAGTACATGGCAGTACACAGCAGTACATGGCAGTACACAGCAGTACATGGCAGTACACAGCAGCACTCAGCAGTACACAGCAGCACTCAGCAGTACATGGCAGTACACAGCAGTACATGGCAGTACACAGCAGCACTCAGCAGTACACAGCAGCACTCAGCAGTACATGGCAGTACACAGCAGCACTCAGCAGTACACAGCAGCACTCAGCAGTACACGGCAGTACACAGCAGCACTCAGCAGTACACAGCAGCACTCAGCAGTACATGGCAGTACACAGCAGTACATGGCAGTACACAGCAGTACATGGCAGTACACAGCAGTACATGGCAGTACACAGCAGTACATGGCAGTACACAGCAGTACATGGCATTACACAGCAGTACATGGCAGTACACAGCAGCACTCAGCAGTACACAGCAGCACTCAGCAGTACACAGCAGCACTCAGCAGTACACAGCAGCACTCAGCAGTACATGGCAGTACACAGCAGTACATGGCAGTACACAGCAGTACATGGCAGTACACAGCAGCACTCAGCAGTACATGGCAGTACACAGCAGTACATGGCAGTACACAGCAGTACATGGCAGTACACAGCAGCACTCAGCAGTACACAGCAGCACTCAGCAGTACATGGCAGTACACAGCAGTACATGGCAGTACACAGCAGCACTCAGCAGTACATGGCAGTACACAGCAGTACATGGCAGTACACAGCAGCACTCAGCAGTACACAGCAGCACTCAGCAGTACATGGCAGTACACAGCAGCACTCAGCAGTACACAGCAGCACTCAGCAGTACACGGCAGTACACAGCAGCACTCAGCAGTACACAGCAGCACTCAGCAGTACATGGCAGTAAACAGCAGTACATGGCAGTACACAGCAGTACATGGCAGTACACAGCAGTACATGGCAGTACACAGCAGTACATGGCATTACACAGCAGTACATGGCAGTACACAGCAGCACTCAGCAGTACACAGCAGCACTCAGCAGTACATGGCAGTACACACTACATGGCAATACACAGCAGTACATGGCAGTACACACTACATGGCAGTAAACAGCAGTGCATGGCAGTACACACTACATGGCAGTACACAGCAGCACTCAGCAGTACATGGCAGTACACACTACATGGCAGTACACACTACATGGCAATACACATCAGTACATGGCAGTACACACTACATGGCAATACACAGCAGTACATGGCAGTACACACTACATGGCAGTACACAGCAGTACATGGCAGTACACACTACATGGCAATACACAGCAGTACATGGCAGTACACACTACATGGCAGTAAACAGCAGTGCATGGCAGTACACACTACATGGCAGTACACAGCAGCACTCAGCAGTACATGGCAGTACACACTACATGGCAGTACACACTACATGGCAATACACAGCAGTACATGGCAGTACACACTACATGACAATACACAGCAGTACATGGCAGTACACACTACATGGCAGTACACAGCAGTACATGGCAGTACACACTACATGGCAATACACAGCAGTACATGGCAGTACACACTACATGGCAATACACAGCAGTACATGGCAGTACACACTACATGGCAATACACAGCAGTACATGGCAGTACACACTACATGGCAGTACACAGCAGCACTCAGCAGTACATGGCAGTACACACTACATGGCAGTACACACTACATGGCAATACACAGCAGTACATGGCAGTACACACTACATGGCAGTACACAGCAGCACTCAGCAGTACATGGCAGTACACACTACATGGCAGTACACACTACATGGCAATACACAGCAGTACATGGCAGTACACACTACATGGCAATACACAGCAGTACATGGCAGTACACACTACATGGCAGTACACAGCAGCACTCAGCAGTACATGGCAGTACACACTACATGGCAGTACACAGTGCAAGGCAGTACACAGCGGTACACAGTACACAGCAGTACACCGCACTCAGCAGTACACAGTACATGGCAGCACACAGCAGTACGCAGAACGCAGCAGTACACGGCAAGCGCACACAATACAGCAGCACACAGCAGTGCACATCACTCCACAGTACACAGCAGTACACAGCGAGCTCGCATAATACAGCAGCACGCAAGACGCACACAGCAGTACACAGTACACATGTGTAGTAAGTTGATGAGGAGACGATGAGGAAGTTGAGACACACTGTTTATTAACTCCGGGACAGATACAATAGTTGAAGGGGTATCGGCCCCTTCACCCGTACTATGGGAAACCCACCCTAGTACTAAGCCCTCTGTCCTGTCCCCCAGTCCTCCTCTACTGGGCTACGGGAGGCTGACTGATCTGGCCCTGGCAAGCACAGATCTCGGCACCAGCTAACCAGCCTTGCCCTGATAAGGGCAGCGGTCTGGAAGCTCTTGGGCCGCGCCACTGGCTTACCCGGCTCGGCCCTTATAAGGACGGCGAGACCGGGGAGTCCCAGGGCCTAATCTCCGAGTCTTGGATCTTCACTGGTCAGCTTCGTGTCGAACTGCCTCGAGCTCTTTGGGTTCCACCTTTTATAGGGATCGCCTCCGAGGGCTGGGGGCGTGGGCAATAACTGATGCGGACGTCGGTGTGACCCCCCGTGTATGTGAGTGCCGACAGCCCTGTGTTTGTTGTCCGCCGTTTCTCCCGTAATAACCCCTACATCACCCCCCCCTGTACAGCTCGCAGCCGTCCCGGCTGCAACAATCCCTCAACCCCCAAGAATAAAGATTAACACCGTCAATACACGTGTGCCTCGTAACAGTAACAATAACAAGAACAAGCGTAACATCAACCGATGGTTCCCTAAAAAAAAAAAAAAAACCCCCACCCGGAACCGCAACACATATACAGAACGGTATAACAGCACATGCAATCAGCATATCGCGATCACACGCGTACATTGAAGCACAATAGCAAGCAAATCTGCAGGCGACCAACACACCATCAATCCCGTCGTAACTTTTCAACCACAACACAGTTATTCCCTCTCATGCAACGACCGCATCGCACACAGCACCTCGCAGCATAATACAGCCCAAAAAAAAACATTTTTTTTTTTTCAATTAAGCCCATCGCGCACGGTGACCCACGAGATGGTACAGCACAGGATACCCGACGCTCCCACGTTAATAATTAACTTTACCATCAAGATAACAACTCCACGCAGCAGCGCACACACTCCCTTTGAAACTCAGCAACCACAGCAGACTCTCCGTCCATTCCCAACACACGCACACACTTACATGGACAGCAAGCAACAAGCAGATAGCGTGGTCATCGTTATTACACACACATACAACCATTAAAAAAACATATATACAATGAGCGGGTTCCGCAGCAACGGAACACGCGCGGAAAGCTAATCATAACAACCGGCGCGTTTTGGCGCGAGTCCGTGCAGCGGGCCCGTCACAAGGGGCCGGCTTGGTAGAGTCAGTGGCAGGTGTCGCATCAGCAGGTGCCTGGTCGTCCGGTTTCCCGGACGTGCCAGCGCCGCCCCCCACGGGGGAGGCTGGCAGCCCAGAGGGCTTCAGTCCTGGGGCTCCTGAAGACGGGACAGTCATTAGTGGATCAGAGGCTGGCATCGATCCCGCCCCCCCGGAGTCAGAGGACTCCCCACATGTTCGGCCATTTACGTGGGAGGAAGCGTGCGGAGCAAAAAATGGCTTTAACCGTGAAGGGTGCACAAACCACCGACGCTTCCCCCACTTAATGCGCACACATTGAGGCCGCACAACCTGCACAATTTCAACGGGGCCCCTCCATGGTCGCAACAACTTAGCCGAGGTGGCCAATGGCACCTGAGGGCAGTGCAACCATGCTCGGTCGCCCGGGTGCCATTCGTGCGTGTGAGTCCGGCGCGACCGCAATCTCTCGTTTTGTTTCTGGCGAGAGTCAGAGTTTTGCATGGCCGCCTGCCGTGCCTCCGCCAAGCGAAGGATGTTAAATTTAACATGGTCGGCGATTTTCGACTTAGCATGAGGCGCGGCAATCGTCAGCTGAGTCGCGACAGGCGGGTCAACCTCGCGACCATACATCAAAAAAAATGGCGAGAACCCGGTCGCCGCGTGAGGAGCCATCCTGTATGCCGCCAGGACTCCCCCGATCCGTAGATCCCAATCGTTTTGGGACTCAGATACCTGGTGGGATAGCATGGACGTAAGAGTCCTATGCAAGCGTTCCACCATCCCATCCGTTTGTGGATGGTAAGGCGAGGTACGAACTTTCTTTGTACCCAGAAGGCCACATACCTCGTGTAAAAGGGTACTAGTGAAATTCTTTCCCTGATCGGTCAACAACCGTTCCGGAGCGCCTTTGTCGAGGACGTAGCCCTGAACAAAAGCCTCCGCAACGGCCGCTGCGGACTGGTTGGCGAGGGGCCAAGCCATAGGCCATCGCGTGAAATATTCCACGCCAACCAGCAGGTACTTATTACCCCTCGGCGTGGAAGGAAACGGTCCCAAAATATCAAGGGCGACCAGCTCGTTAACCCGGGTGACCGAAATGGACTGGAGCGGTGGACTGGCTCCCTTCGCCGGCGGCTTCCGTTGTGCACACTGGGTACAGGACCGCAGCAGATCGTCCACGTCTCTTGCCATGCCCGGCCAAAAGTAATTAAGCTGGAGCATGGCAAGTGTTTTGAGGGTACCCAGGTGCAGGAGCCGTTCATGAGCAGCCCATACAGCCCTACCCCTCAACGTGGAAGGCACCACCAGCCTGTGACGGCGGATCGTCCCGTCCCAATGCATGAGTAAGCCCTGGCACCACCCCCATGAGTC